ACAGCCAGGGCTACACAGAGAAGCCCAGTCTCAAGAAAACGAACTAAAAAAAAAAAAAAAAAAAAAAAAAAACTTCTCCCTAATTAGTGCAATACATGAAATCTGAGGTAGATGTTTGTATCATGTTTGCAATACTTAAAAATTACCTCACAAACTACTGGCCAATAATTGCTGAAAAGTGTCACTATTCTGAATTTATGTAGTGCAACAAAAACCCACAGCATCATTTACTACTTCACACCTAATGCCTTTTTTTCTTTTTGAGACAAGAGTCTCAAGTAGCCTGGACTGGCCTCAAACCTCATATGTAGCCAGAGACAACCCTTAACTTCTGATCTGGATGTCTCTACCTCTTTAGTGCTTACTACAGGAGTCTAGAGAAGCTGGCTTCCTCAGTACTAGAGATGTTAACTAATCCACAGACTTGGGCAAGACCTCTATCCAGTGAACAGGCCATACTCTAATGTCTGACAAACAATGTTAAACAATCAAATTCATAAACCGTCCATAAAAGAAAACCAAAAAGGCAGGCAAGTGAGTTTTGAAGATTCTTATCTGCTTCAGCTAATCTGGGGAAACAAGCTGTTCAGAGAATCAAGTAACTGAAGTCATAGATTGCGTGAAATTTCCCTTAGGCATTTGACTCCAAGTGTGAGACAACCAAGTGTGGGAGTAACCAGGACAAAACAAACTACATTACCTTCTAATCAACAGGCCCATGCCTATGTTCACTATAAATTATGTATAAAACACATACACATATACTCTGCATTCTACCCTTCACTCATATTCCATCAATATTCACACACTTAAACCTCAAAGCAGTTTTCTTAACATCTCAAGAGATCGTAGACTTTTTAAAGACAAGGTTTCACTGTGCCCTGGCTGGCCTGGAACTTTGTAGACTAGTCTGGCTCTGCCTCCCCAGTGCTGGGACTAAAGGCATGTGTCATCATGGTCAGCTTCTGTCTTTTAAGTTATGTCAAACAACTTTACTGCATCTTCTATATCATAATCTCACCTTTTCTTCTAATACCTATGATCTTAATTTCATAACCTTTTAACTACAAGTTAGCTTTTTTAAACTAAAAATGCTCAAGACCATTTTAATCCGTCATTCTGTAATTTTATTATAACCCTTTGAGGCAAAAGGATATATATAACACCTTAAGCCAAAAATATTTTGATATGATTTAAAATAAAGCCTCAATAAATAAACTCCCTAATATTTAGGATGGTTAGCCTAGTTTCAACATAATGTAATTTACATTAGATTTCTATTCTTTATATTATTGTGCACCTCAAACAAAATATTCAATGCATTTTTAAATAAACCTAGAAAGACAAAATACAGTATAAATACAATAAAAATGCAAGCTCCTAAATTACAATTTATACCATTAACGTGAATATTTTATGAAATGTAATCCACAGAGACTAAGTGATATCTCCTTTCTTCAATGTTGTGATTAACAGGACTTTTATTGGTAGTAAACTAGAGCAAACAATCAGAATAATACATATGTAGTATTCAGTACACACAATAAAAGTTAAAGAAATTCAAAACCTGTATAAAACAAAAGAGAGAGAGAGAAATCATACAGCTTAAGAGATACAGGGGTAAAGGTCCTCTCCATCTTTGATCACACTTGTCTCTGTATCCAATAGAACTTACTGCACTTAATAAGACATACAGACATTTTAGTACTGAGTGTATTAAAAGAATTAAACACATTTTCTAAAAATCTTTTAATGTCAAGTTGGTACCCTTTAGCTAACTAAAGCTAAAGGGTGGAAGGTGGGAAAAGGGAATTAACTAGTATTTTGTAACCATTTTTAATAATTTCTTATTTTCCAAACACTGCTTTTATAACAGAAGTGTTTTACACTTGCACAATATTAATTACTTTATTATACATGGAAGCCTGTGTTAGGCTGATTACACAATGAGACTGCAAACAACCAGTGGTACTTTTCTGACGTCAGAAGAGTTCATAAGACTAAACATCACCAAAAGTACATAAAAACTCATCAGCATAAACATCAAAGTACATTAAAAAATATAATCAGGAAAAAAAATACAATTGCTAAAAAGTGGTTTAGAGCAGAGCCACTGCCTATCAGTAGCTTCAAATGGCAATTAGCGTTCATAGCAAGTTTTGATGACTTTACAAGATCCCTGTACAATACTGACTAATACACCCCTTCAAAATGTACATTAAAGGCTGCAATTTCACAAAGAGTTCTGATGTCATTACTAAATACACACTCTTATCTGTTACACAAGCTATGCCACCAGGTGGGATTACAACCTTGTGACATCTATAGCTTGTACATGGAAATCTGTATTGGGTTTGTTTTTTAAAAAAAAGTCAGGGATGTTTACCCTATTGTTTAGTATTTGAATGCCATAAGACATATAAAATGCATAATCAATTATCTACTAGATGATAAATCACTCTAAAATTGAAACCATCAAGACAGGGAGAAGGAACAAGAAGGCCCAGAACTTTAAGAGGAAGTTAAGAACAAGTACCAAAAACCAGAAGTGAAGGTGGTACATAATAGCATAAATAAGAGAATGTTTTTAGGCCATGTATAATGAATAATGCATACCCCAAATTTCAATAGATTATGTGTCTTGAACTTACTAATACTGAAACCAACCAACCACTTGGGTTTTAATTTTAACACTGTACTCGATAGACATTCACAGAATCACTTAATGGAATTACAGCCTTGTTACAGGTGGATAAAGAGGATGGTTTTTTTTTCCTCTTTTTTTTTTTTTTAAATTAAAGCTATCATTCCAGGCTTTGATCAAAGATCTAAGAATATTTGTTCTACCAAGCTGGAATGAATCTGGGTTTGGAAGTTTGGAGTACATTTAAAAGCTGCAACAAAATATAGGTAGCCAACAATCTCAGAATTTTGGATCAGCCCAGATAGAGATAGCACTTGAAATGTTTTCGATCCCTTACTTAAATGATGAAATGTATATTCTATCAGCCCAGAAAGAGCAATTTGAAATGTTTAAGATCCCTTAACTTAAACAATGAAATGTGTATCATACTATTTGTAAATTGGATATTCCATTACGGTGATAACGTACAGAATTCCCATGCGTTATTACACTTTCCTGAGAGTAAAGCAATTAGAATAACCTTAATCCTAGCAACAAAGTTTCTTTTTTTTCCTTTTTTTCTTTTCTTTTTTTTTTTCCTGTACTTTTTTTGTTTTGTTTTTTTTTTATTTTTTTTTTGTTTTTGCATTTAAAACTTTTGGGCTATTCCCTGACAATCTATACATGTAAATTTGATTGCTAAACATTGTCACTTTGAATGTCAAACTATTTTTAATCTATTGATTTTGATTAAAAATCATAATACAAACAGAGCTAAAATCACACTAACAAAATAAACTAAATATGAAAAGTTGCATTGAAAGGGCATTACATTATTCTTAATAGGATCGTGTAGAAACATTCCAATGGCAGTGTTCTCAAAATAAAACAAAATTACATTAGACTCCCAGCCTGGTCACTCTTGAGACCTTACCTGTAACTCTGGCTGGTGGGTGTCTTTACTCTTGTACTACATGGCTCACTTACATCAGACATCATATTTGTATACCCTGAGAAGTCTGACACTGAAGTCCTGACTCTATGGTCCACTTCTCCATTAGAGTTAGTGATAAAGGTCATTGGCACCCTGCTGCCCGACTTAAACTGAGAACCGAATGCTTGTGCAAAGTTCTCAATCTGGTACGTTGTTCTAGGCTCTATGTCTTTCTGAGGATCGATCTGGCTAGCTAACTCCTGAGATGGAATCTGAAAGCTTGTTGAGGACTCTAAATTTTTCTGTTGTTCCTTCTGGCTAGTCAATTTCTGAGATGAGGACTGGAAGGCTGATGATGTCTCTAAGTTCTTCTGAGAATCTATCAGATCATCCAGCTCCTGGGAAGGTGTCAACTGCTGATGTGTAGCATCCAAAGCAGATAAATAAAGACCTGGTTGAGATCCAAACAACATCCCAAAAGGAGGCTTTGGCAACGAAGATGGCAACACTGAGGTAACAGATTGGCCAAAACCACACTCCAAAGGAGATGTAGTGTATATCTGTTTTTCTGGAAACAAAGTGTGGTTGTGGAGAGGTGAAGACAAGCTGACAAATTGGAAACCGTGTCCAAGAGTAAAACCTGCATTAGTGGATTTTTCAAAAGCCTGTTGGAGGTATTTGGAGTATTCTTGCAACATGCTTGTTTTATCATTTGAAGGTGTTTGGGTGCCTGGGCTCAAATTTTCTTCTTGAACCAATTCAGAGTGTTCTCCTGAGGTGTGTAAATCCACTCGTGGTTCTGATAAATTGAAAGGATCCTCCTTCTGCGTTTCTGATTTGCTAGAGTACTGATCCAAAATACTTTGTAAAACCTCATCAGGAATTCCAGACTTGTCGTGACAAGACTTAATTTCAGCATTTAGAGCTGAGGAGTCAATAAGTGACAATGGCGCCTCATTGTCCAAAACACTGACCCCTGCAGACTGAATGACTGACTGCTGGGAGACCATGTGTCCTACATTGATAGAAAAGGCACTGTTGCTGCTGGCAGTTGGTAAGTATCTTCTCTTCTTTGAAAACTGCATGGCGTCATCATAATTACTACTTATCGGGCCTTGTTTGCCACTTGTACTTTGGAGAAGACTAATGGTCTCCACACTATTATTCGATACTATGCCAAGTGAGCCGCTTGGTTTACCAGACAAGGATTTCTGCCCAACTACGTCTGGTAACGGTGACACAAAATTAAGGTAGCTTTTATCTGTATTCTTTCTGCTTCCTTTCTTAAAGATCAATTTTGGCACCCTTTTCTGTAGTTCATCTATTCCAGTGCCAATTATGCCCCCACTGGTAGACACAGTAGGCATTTCTACTGAATAACTCTGCATGTTTATACTGTTAGACATTTGTGATTCATTTGTTTTGCCAGTCTTGTGTTCCTTATTTTCAATAGCTATGCTTTTTGACTTCGATTTTCTCCTTGAAGAACTTGTATTTCCCTGAGACAACACAGCCAGATTACCCATATTGTTATGGTTTGATGACCCAGGTTCTGCACTAGCGGCTCCTTTTGCTATGGCTTCACCACATGTGCGCCTGTGCTTCAACAATCTGTCAGTCCTTGAAAAATACTGTTGGCAAGTGTCACACTTATATGGCTTTTCTCCACTATGTGTCCTCTTGTGTCTCTCCATATGGTACTTCTGAATAAACTTCATGCTGCACTGATCGCATCCAAAGGGTTTCTCTCTGCTGTGAATTTTCTCGTGTCTCTGCAGTAGGTATTTCTGAATGAAACCCATACTACACTGGCTGCACTGGAAAGGTCTTTCTCCAGTGTGAATGAGGACATGTCTCCGCAGGTGGTAGGAGCTCCTGAAAGCAGCACTACAGTGATCACAGATATGAGGTTTCTGGCTTGGGGACAGGACGGCACCTTCTCCCTCTCCAACCAAAGGTTTGGAAGATGCACTTGGCTTCCTCTTGGCTTTGATTCCCTGAGATTCTGGCTTTGGCCTCTTTGCCTTTTTGACGTTAGTGTCCTGCTTTGGCTCCTCGTTGCCATGGTCATCAGTCCTGCTACCGCTGCTCAGTAATACATCACGGTGGTGCTGGGCTGGTTGCTGCTGGACATGCTGGTGGAGAATACTGAGGTCTTGGATGACGCCGTGGCTCCCCCCTTCCCCTCCTCCTAGGCCTGGTGATCTCTCTTCAGCCCCAGCGAACAGCCCCCCATAGTGGTGGTGGTGATGGTGGTGGTGGGACTGCTGCTCCTCGGTATCTGCAGGTTTCTCCTGCTTGATGCTCACCAAGGACTGCAAGAATCCCCAGGAGGTCCTCTGCGAAGGGAAGGCCGCGGCTGACGCCGCCGGCTCCTTCTTGAAAGTCATGTCCGGGGCTGGCGGAGGGGGGGGGCTCAGCGGCCGGGGCTGCGGAGGTAGAGGAGGATAACACGCACTGCGGGGGAGGGGCGGCCGTCCCCGCCGGCCGGGTGAAGCTGGTGACCGGGGGGAGCCGGTGGTTGAACATAACCATACTCTGGGGGAAGGTGGGCTCCATCTCTGCTCTCCTGCCGCCGCCGCTGCCGGAGCTGCCGCCGGAGCCGCTACCACCGCTACTGCCGGGACCGCCGCTGAGGAACCCGCTGCCGATTTTCATACCCCGGAGGAGGCCTGGCTGCGGAGAGGAGGGAGAGGAGGGAAGAGGGGGAACGGCGGTAGGGCCGGGCCCGGGGCCGGGACCACCGCAGCGTTTGGGACCCGCCGCGCCGCCGCCCAGCCCGCACCGCGCCCGGCGCCCGTCCGCAACCTCGCCGCCTCCGGCCCGGCGCGCTCTACCCCGCGGCCTTCTTGGCCGCTCCCGCGCCCGCCCCGGCCCGCCGGCCACACTTACGGGTTCCGCCGCCGCCGCAGCCGCCGTCGCCTCCAGTTAATAAAAATAACGCCGTCCTCTCCACAATGGAATTAAAAGCCTCCCGGCTTCTGCGCAGCCGCGGCGCGGTGTCTGCCGGGAAGTCCTCGACCGGACCAGAGGGGAGCTCTGCGAGCTCAGTGCGCCTGCGCCTCAGTTTCCGCCTGGCCACCCTGTCAATCAAGGGGGCGGTTGGGCGGAGCAGCTGGGGGCTAGGCGGGAGGGGCGGGGACTTAAAGGCCGGCAGCGGAGGGTCTTCCGCAGCGAGGGGACGTGATTGGTGGCTCTGCCTTGGGCAGAAAGTGGCTGAGGGTTTCTGGGGAAAAGACGCTCGGGAGGTGGAACTCAAGGGGCGGGAAGTCGGGGGACGCCGGGAGAGCGTGTTGCAGCGTGGCGTGGGAGCCACAGAGAAAGAGGTTGGAGAAGGTGGTGAAACTGAGACCTGAACATTGGCATTTGGTTCACTTTAGTGTTTGCAATCCAAGTATCGAATCAAAATCAAACCTAGAAAAGGATTCCTTAAGGTACTTGTGAGTCTGACTGAAAGCTTTAAACTCATAACAGTATTGATTACAGATAGTTTTTACTCCTTCCTTTCAGATTGGGGACAGCAATAACGCTTGTCTTTGCGTTTACTGAAGGACCCTTTGAGACTGCCATAGAGGAGGTACCGCTGCAGAAACTTATCTCACTGCCAGCCTACCTGAAGGCTACAGCAAAGGGAAACCACGTGTAATCCCAGGTGCAGCTGTCCTGTAAAACACGCCCACACACACTTTAGCATCAGATGGTATTTAAATGCCACGTACTTTCTCTGTTGTCTGAATTTGCTTATCAGGTTGGATGCTAACTAGCCTCATTTGTAAAATATTGGCCATCATTCCTGTCTAAAATCTCTGCTAGGATACATACCCTACTCTCCCCACCCCTCCACTATAGAATGCCTAGAAACTTGTAAAATCGCTCCTAATTCAGTTGGTGGGGGGGAATTAGGTATAAATCTTGAAATTAAAAGTTCTAGCGACAAAACCAAATAAATATTTATTTAGTGCCTAATAATGTATGAAAGGCATTCACTGCAAGCATGAAAAATCTAAATCAGCAACTTTCCTAGGTGTATTTATACATCATCACAGACACTTTAATAAAAGGATCTAGAGAATAGTTATTTACATAGTGTTTTCTTAAAGAAATTACATGTTCATTTTCTCATAGTGTTTCTCGAAATGACTTCTTGTAATTAAATAACTTCCCTGAGAAATTTAGCAATTAAAACCATACCAACACAGGCTTCTCTGAGCCTGCCTAGAAACCTTAAAACTGTATTTTATGAGTAGTTTCATGAGGCATTGTACCTTCCTAACCCCATGCAACTACATTTAAATTATTTCCTGAAACTATCAGGTATAGCTAAGCGTTGAACACTGGGAATTCAAAAACTTTAGGCAGTCATAAAATATTAGTCAATGCCAGTGAGAAATGAGGCTGTCCCTGTATTGAGGGCGTCAGTGTTTAATCGTAAGCTGGGATGCACATAAGCCAGTCCAAGCATGAAGGGCAGTGGGACACTCATATGAAAGCCAACATTGTTCTGCAGTTATCAAGATAAGAAACCTGCCATTTCTCTCATTCACTCTGTCAGCCTTGAGCTACTCCAAGCATACTCACCTCTAGGTTGTACACCCCATATATCAGGAAGATGAAGAGACCCTGTAAAATAAAACGGAGGGGAAAGCTGTTAGCGCTAATCATTCCGCCAGTGGAAAGGCCTGAAATAAACTTTCCTGAGAACAGACAAAAGAAGACACACTTCATCAAGGTCCATTTATTTTCCCGTTTTTCACCATTAGAAGTTGTACCTTGAGCATTTATATGACCACACACCAGCACATCACCTACACTGGTTGTGCTATTCAATACTTTGGCGATAGAAAATAAAAAACAGTACCCCAACTACATAGACTAGTAATCAGGAAACTCATTATGTCAGTTTCTGGGAGGTGGCTGGATGATGAAACAAATATTAATATTTTAAAACTCTGGGGCTGCAGTAACCTCAGTATATTTCTTTGAAGTTATAAAATTAGAAAATAATTGAAACCTTAAACACTACAGGTTACTGACGTAGTCCAATGATACGGTGGTTGCCTACTGTGGATAAGGCTTGAACCCCAGTACCAGGAAAACCAACCAACCTCCTTTAAAACCGTCAAAAGAGACAAACTTTGGTAATAGGGACTGCAGACATAGCTCAGCAGTTAAGAGCCTTTGTTTTTCTTGTATAAGATCCAGGTTCAGTTCCCAACACTCACCCAGAGGATCCCGCAGGCATGAACATGGTGCATATACATGGACGCAGGCAAAAACTCAGACACATAACATAAATAAATCCTCAAAAAAGATAATAGATACAAATTGTCTATTTGAAAGTACTGAAATCATAGGCGAAGCCCCCATACCCAGAAGTATGAATTATTTTTAAAAACACTTAATTTTTAAAAAGATTATGTTTGTTTGACAAAAAAATCTCTTTCTATAGACCAGGTTGTCCTAGAACTCACAGAGATCCACCTGCCTCTGCCTCCTAAGTGCTGGGATTAAAGGTATAGGCTACCAACACCAGGCTGGATTTTTTTTTTTAAACTTTATTTTATGTGCATGATTGTTTTTGCCTACCTGTATACATGTGTAGCATGTGCATGCCTGGTGCTAAGGAGGTCAGAAGAGGGTATCATATTCCTTGGAAGTAGAGTTACATTTTCAAACCATTGAGTGCTAGGGATTGAGTCCATGTCCTCTAGAAGAGTAGACAGTGCTTCTAACTGTTGAGCCATCTATCTCTCTAGGTCCTAAAATTAAGATTTAAAAGGAAAGGAGATGGTGTGGTACTGTAGAATGCATACTTAGCATCCATAAGGCTCTGGGTTTGAGTCTCAGGACTGCCAAAATGGTGTGCGTGGTGATAGAGATCTTTTGTAGCAAGTGTGAAGCCCTAGATGTAATCCACGGGACCAGTGAAAATAAAGAAAAAACAATGTGCTGGAGAGATTGCTCAGAGGTTAAGAGCACTGACTGCTCTGCCAGAGATCCTGAGCTCAATTCCCAGCAACCAAATGGTGGCTCACAACATCTATAATGGGATCTGATGCCCTCTTCTGGTGCGTCTGAAGACAGCTACAGTGTACTCCCATATATAAAATAAATCTTTAAACAACACACACACGCACACACACACATACCCTCAAAATAGAAAAACATGTAAAATACAAAATAAACCTCACTTCTTTTAAAATGTATTCATCTTTTTATGTAAATAAGTATCCAATCTGCATGTACATCTCCATGTAGAGAAGAGGGCATCGGATCCCATTACAGACGGTTGTGAGCCACCATGTGGCTCAATTCCCATTGAGCTCAGGACCTCTGGAAGAGCAGCCAGTGCTCTTAACCACTGAGCCATCGCTCCAACTATAAATTGCACCCTTAAACCTCTTTGGCCAGATGTGGTAGCAGAATCCTTTAATTGCAAAATCTCTAGACATAGTGGCAATTAGATCTCTATAAGTTCCAAGCTAGGTTGGTCTACATAGTGAGTCCAAGGCCTGTTGGCACTAGGCACTACATAGTGAAACTGTCTGAAAACAAGACAAACAAAATGTTTAAGATGTTTAATCTTAATACATGATGGTGACTACAACTGATCTGCCAGGTCAGCAAGATGGTTTAGCAGGTAAGGTGCTAGCTAGTTAATAATCCTTTTTCCACCTCTTCTACCCATAAGTCCCTTACAATCTCTTACGTTCGTTTTTTTTTTTTCCTTTTATTGTGTGTACATGTGTGCCACAGGGACACGTGGCAGCTCTAGTCCATTCTCTTCTACCATGTGGGTTTCATGAGTTACACTTAGGTCATTGGGCTTAAGACCAAGCATTTCTTTCTACCCACTGAGTCAGGTCACTGGGCACAGGTCCCTCGACTTTTATTGATGAAATGAGAATATTATACTATGTACAATAAATGAATTCCTCAGGAAGTAAAACTTTCTGAACATTGCACTATGTGTTATGACTTCCATATTATAAACCAAGGCTATTTACCTGAAATCTATAGTTTAGAAATCAAATAACTCATCTGTGACCATTCATATAACTTAGATATAATTTTCGCAAGGTCAGTTTTCCCTGAAGGAAGGAATAAGAGAAAAACCATGAGCCAGGCAGTGGTGGCACAGGCCTTTAAGACCAGCAGCACTCAGGAGGCAGAGGCAGGCAGATCTCTGAGTTCAAGGCCAGCCTGGTCTACAGAGTGAGTTCCAGGACAGCCAGTGCTATACAACAGTATCTCCAAAAACAGAACTAGAGAGAAAATGAATGAATCATGTTTTCCCCCATGTCCTGGTAAACTGAGCAGAGTATGAAGGGAGACCCAGACAGAGCTCTTCACTGCATTTTTGTCTCCATTACCTGCTTTAATTACAGTCTGGTTTTAACCATCTTCATTTTGAAAAGGAGGAAAATGGACTTTGGATACAGGCAGTTTTTGGATACAGGCAGTTTCAATCTTAAGGTTTTCTTTTTCTCCCTGTTTATTCTCTCATGTGACAAATACCATAAACCAAGCAGATCCCCCACTGTGGCTTCCACACACCATAACAGAAGTCTGAAACTCAAGACGACCCAGGGGCTCTGCGAGTTTCTTGAGGCATCTCCCCAGTGGTGGGAAGGGAAAACACTAATGATAGCCTTTCATTTGTAGGCTTCGCACAGAGCGCCTGCTTTCCCATAGCATTACCAGTGCTGGGAGTTCTGATTTAGCAGATCTTCATAAACCCCAAAGCTGCAAACACATTGCATCTTCTCCGTGGAGAGAATCAAATAGAAACATTTGGTCATCTGGAGCCATAATGATTCATTTCATTTACAGCCTACAGAGAACAATACCTTTAAGAACAGTTGTGGGGGGGTAGGGGGACCCAACCCCTACTCTTTAACTACACCGTGGTAGCTACAACTATGCCACATTTACAGAATGAAAATG